AGGAAGGCACAGATGCATAACACACATGAAAAATAAAGCCGTGATATTTTGTTTTTAGCGTAAAGCTAAGGCTACCAAAAAAAGTCTTAAACAAGTGTGAAGTGTTTCAGCTCACTTAGATCAATCAGCATACAATAAACTAAATGAAGACATTCACTGTTTTTCCGCATTTAAAGTGTACATCTGCTTCTATGATGAATAATGGTGGAAATCATACTAGACCACCAAGTTCCATGCAGTGGAATACTACTTCAAACAGTCTGGCCAAGTGGCCATTTCCTTTCCTAAACAGAACTAAAAATAATAATAATTAGTGATATAGCATATGGGGGCAAATTTGGCCAGAGTGCATCACCAATTTACTTGTTTTGAACATGTAACTTAGTAGCTGAGACACTGCTATACAAGCCAGTTGAGTATAACAGTAGTCGAGTCCCAGGGTAGTTCTCTTTTGTGGGACAGGCCTATTGGTCTCAAAGTGAGCTAAACCATGCCTTCCGAGCAAGAGGGCACTTCATTTGCATACTCGAGCCATGACTTGGTTTTAGACATAAATCGAGGGCTGACATTTTTCATCTCTAGTACAATTAACTCCTTGGAGAAAAGAGAAGAACAATAATCAACATGAGAAAGCTTGACAATGAAAATAAAACCCACAAAGGAAAAGTCATGCTAAAACTGCTTCGACAGTTGTTCCATCATGGCCCACCGTGGTAGGTTTGAGGCCAGTGACTTCATGGACGCATCCGTTCGATGCACTGCCAAAGGTCAGTTTCGAGTCCGTCATGGTGACCCCAGTGTGATGCTGCCTGCCTTCCATCCACCGCCTCCCACCCATGAGATCCAAGGGGGCCTGGCTAGTGTCTGCGCAGGGCACACAGGTCCAAGCCCAAGAAACTTCCGGAAAGCTCCGCCTTGGATTCGGGCGAGGAAACACAGCAGTGGTTTGGAATCCTGCCAACAGCATCCACACTGGGGCTTAACCTCAGCAGCCGGCCTGCAGGACGCTTCCCCCAGAGCGCTTGGTCACCGACAGAGTCGTGAATACCTGCGGGAGGAGACAGCACGAGATTCTCAGACAACCGAGCAAACGAGTTAACCGGGAGTGCAATCACACCGTCCGTAGCAAGAGTGAGTTAAGTGCTACTGAAAATGAACGAAACAGAGAAGTAATATGATTGCTTCCTCCATTTCTCCAGAGGATAGAAGCGGGGAAACATTTTAAAACCAAGGTGAAAGAAAAGTTCAGACTATCTAATGAAGAATTTTGTTAGCAGGAGGATGATTAAAACAAATTTGTCACCCGGGTTGCCTGTCTATTCTCTAAAAGAAATGCATCATGAAATATTTTGGATCCGCGGAAAGGAATAACGTGTATTGTTACAAAGACCCATGTGCCCACCCAGCTCAGGGG